AGTCCGCAATTTTGGAAGGCCGCTGGCCGAACCTTAGAGTTGGAGAGTTAGCCGAAAACCACGATTTCTCACCTCTCCATAAGTGCACTGTTGTTAGATGTGACCAAGATTGCAACAGTGAAAACAATGAGGGCGTCGATTGGGGGCCCGCCACAAGGCTGATTTCTGCCTAGTCGGTCAGTGGTCGCTTTAGTACGGGCCTACTTGCACTGCCTGAAGCATGGCTGGGGCCATGGTGTGAAGCGGAGGGAACTGTGGTGCAGGTTGGCGCAGATCTTAGTCTGCCGGAAGCATGGCAGGGGCTGCGGTTGCAAGTGGAGCCAAACATGGTGCTGGCTTGAGGAGAGTTTGCATATACGACATGCGAGGGAAGTCATTTCGGGGCAGTTCTGTCTGACAGGATGGTTCTCCTAATTGATATGTGGGTTTTAACGTCCAGAAACCACCATATGGTTATGAGAGACGCCGTAGTGGAGGGCTCCGGAAATTTTTACCACCTGGGGTTCTTTAACGTGCACCCAAATCTGAGCACACGGGCCTACAACATTTCCGCCTCCGTCGGGAATGCAGCCGCCGCAGCCGGGATTTGAACCCGCGACCTGCGGGTCAGCAGCCGAGTACCTTAGCCACTACACCTCCGCGGCGGGGCCAGGATGGTTCTGCTAGTGCTCGCTGAACTTCGGCTCGGACAATGCCGGAGAAAGAACTGACAGTGGGCGTCAAGGATACTCATATCTTCTGCAGTTCTTCATGGATTACAGAGCGTATGAGCTCATGAAAGAAGTCGACGTGGCCCCCAAGACCCCCCATGAAGTCCGTAGGGGACGCAATGTTGTCTTGTCGTTCGTACGTCTGGGTTCATTGCCGAAGCGGGCTTTCAATTAGGACGGCTTCAGCAAGGTATTCTGACGTAGTCTTGGGTGGGCTGCGTACAACACCACCGAACAACTGCTTCTTCACTCCACGCATCAGGCATCGCTTCTTCACTTCCGGCATGTGAGGGTCGGTTCATCGCAAAAGACGCGTCATGTCCTCAACATACAATGCTACGCCCTCATTTGGCATTTGCATACGGCACTTTAGTTCACGCTCAGGAGGCTCTCGGTGATCGGGACTCGCATACGTTTTGCGAAGCCGTTGTTTGAAGTCCTCCCATGACGTGAACACACCTGCCTAGTTTTAGTACCAAAGATGTGTGCCATCATTCAAACTGAAGTAGACATGTCTGGGTTGGTCTGTGTCATCGAACATGATATGAGTGGCAACGAAGTCGCAGTGGACAAGCCAATCCACAACATCCTCATGGGAAGCATAGAGTTTCCTATTATACACTAGAAGGAACTCTGGTGCTAGTGTCTAGGGGAACTGCAACGCACGGCGCTTCAGCGAGCATTGTATGATAGGTAGTACACACATTTGTCTAATCTTCGTACTTCTGGCCTACTTCTGGCTCCGTGATTGTTTGTGTGACTTGGAGCTGTTTTCTGACGAAACAAAATATCAGCAAGTGTTCAGTGGATGTGCTTCACCACCTCAATTTTTAAGCCTACCTTTTCAAATTGAATCACGAATTTTAAAAAGGTTCGTTGTTTTCTTTAAAACAAAACTGTAAACAGCTATAAACGAAGCCGCAAATACGACTCGCCGCCCGCAAGTACGAAGACAAAGCAAATTTGTGTACTACTCATCATTCCATTGTCGCTGAACAATCGCAGCGCCAAAGTCCCCTCCAGTTAACTTTAGGAAACTCTATGATAGTAAGCACCATGAAAGGGATTCGGCGTTCGCGCTATACAGCGTAAAGTGTATTGGCGTTGCGCCTTCCATATCGGCTGGGTTGGAGTCATCTGCAACAGTGCTGCCTGGGGTAGTGGAAGCCGTCAACCTCCTCTGGGAGAAGTCCGAACTCAGGGTCCAGTCCACGGATCCTTTGTCTGGCACAGTAAACAGGCGTAACCACCAGTATGTGGCTGGCGCTTCTTGCACTGGGAGGGGTTTGGTCATAGGATACTGCAGCACCTCCGCCAATTGTCACGCTCCTGGGACTCAAACGAACGTACAAGGAGACGCGATTGTCAAAAATGTCAGACACGAAGAAGGACGTCTCCGGCAGGCACGGGTTGCTCGACTTCGTCTTGCTTGTTTAGTGGCATAGAAATGGTTCACTTTTCACTGTCACAGAACACCAGGTGGCACTATACAATAATTTTGTGTCTGTATACGTGTGCGTGCGCACGCGCGCGCGCGCGCGCGTGTGTGTGTGTGTGTGTGTGTTGTGTGTGTGTGTGTGTGTGTGTGTGTGTGTGTGTGTGTGTGCGTGTGTTTGATAGCTCATCACGGTGCTTCTGACGCCGTTTCGGGCTCCAGCATAGCCGGCACTCCAGGCATTCTCTGTACGCTACCATACATCATGTGCCACCAATCATTCCCGCAGCAATAAGTACCACAATGATGGATGATGGAATCCATCATTCCTATGGTGGACGTTTCTTCAATAGGGCAATTAACGGTTGTGCAGCGCGAGTTGTCGGTTTTTTTACAAGCACACGCTGCCTGCGTCGGCTTTGCTAGGCTGGAGAAGGGGATACAAGTGACAGTTTTGCGGATGTCTTCCTTGGCGTGCACGAAACGCGAGCATGCGGAACGAGACGCGAGCATGTGCAGGGAAAATGTACGAAGAGACAGCAATACACGGGCTTGTCAAATAGCTGTTTCTCATCTAAATAGTATAACACCGCCTAAGCACTCCGTACAGATGGTTAACCAACGAAGCTGCACCTTGTGGCATCAGGCAGTTGCTGACGTCATAGCTGAAGCCACTTGAGAAACTCCCGCCAAAGGCGGGCGTTGGCCTGCGAACGAGTTTGTGGTACTGCCTCTTTGACGCTGCTCTGCTTATTACGTACATCGCTTCCTCAGCCTGGCGTAGTCGCTCCTATTCGGCTCGGAAGGCTACCGGATCTTCGGTACGCAGTTGCTGCTTGCACCCGGACTGCTGCATGCGCCCGGCGAATACGTGTTCTCTTACTGATCAGCAGCCGACGCTGTTCTTGGAAAGATGTCCGCAGTTCAGGCATTCATGCGGTCTGTGCCGTGCCCCATGTGGACGGTTTTCCTCAGATTAAAAGCAATGCGGGCGGACGGGGTGAGCCGGATTACCTTCTTTTTCATCATTTCTCATCCTTTCTATCCTACATTCTTTTCCCACTCTTCATTTCTGTGGAGTTCTGTTGAGAGGTTACCTCTACTGAGAGACGGCGCTGCCATTTTCAGGGGTGAAACTCCTTACTGTCTAGGGCAGTGCGACCCTCCGCCATGATCAGCCCAGCATAACCACAGACAGACGGACGGAAGAATGAACGCTTCACCCCGCTCATCATAATTAAATCCGTCGATATGCTGTAAGTATGTTTATTTCTCTCTCTTTCAAAGCCACTTCGTTGAAACTGCTGCGCGCGGGCTCTGTGACGTCGCTCACAGCGTTCCCAATGGGACGCGCGTTGTGGTGCGACGTGGAAAATTACGCAACTGACGAAGCGGTCACTGGAGACGTTCAGCGCTTGTCGTGGCTAACGTTTTTTTTTTTTTGCCTAGTCATATGCAGCTTTCGCTGTAAAATTTGGAGGGAAATTACAATAAATAGAAATGAGAAAAACTTAATAAAGAAGAAGAAACAAAAGAGGAGAAAGGGGCAAGAAAAGCGAAGCGAAACAAAGCCCTGCACTGCCTTCAGACTTGACACCCCTATAGTGTAAAGCTGCCTTGAAGGAACACTAAATAGAAGCACACAATTGAAATCTCATTTTTAAATTTCGCGCCAAAATATCAGCTCTAGCGTCAAAATTTTAATATACATTTTTCGCATTTCGGTGACATTAGGGTGACGAAATTTTGTGAAACCATGTTTTATGTCTATGGCAGCCACAGATGGCAACGTACTTCCTTTTTATTGATTAGAAGCTACGCTGGACCCAGTAGAGGCCTTCAAAATTGACGACGTCACAGTAATTGGTGCGGGAATCTCAAATTGGTGTCCCCACCTACATTTTCTTTTCGCGCGTTTTGTCGCTTACCAAGCGTCGTGTCGCTGTAAGACCGGTGTTTTCGGGATACTGAAATCGTGCTTTACGAACACCCGATAAATTGTTTTGTGCTTTAGTGTCCCTTTAATGTTTCCTTGATGTTTTTGTCACCTATTCACACAGTAAACCAACCTCGCATACCTACGATTGAACGGTAATTCTCGGAAGTGTAACTGGGCAACGCAAAATGCTGGTTTTAAGCGAGGAACTTCAAGCACAGTACAACGTCCTCTAAGCAGTTTGCATGCATTCGTTTCGTACTTCCATTACCTTTTATGTCCCGTGTCTGCCCTATGAGATGGTATATTCCGCATGCTGTGACTACGGTGAAAGAGCGAGCAAAGATGGCGTTGCCTCGTTGGCGTAACACTACATAAGATTATGCAATTCCTGGACAAATCAGTAGTAATAGTAACCACAACAACGACAACAATAATAATAATAATAATAATAATAATAATAATAATAATAATAATAATAATAATAATAATAATAATAATGAATTATTATTAATAATGAAACCACGATATGGTTGTTAGGTGCAAGGCTCTTGAAATTTCGTTCACTTGGGGATCCTTAAGCTGCGCCAAATGCTAAGTAGACGGGCCGCAATTATTTTGTCAGCCATCAAAGTTTACTAAAAAATGCCACCGTCAAAACCGGCCTCAAACCCGCGCCTTTCGCGACAGCTGCCGAATACAGTAATCACTCTGAAATAATGGCGGCGTGGATAAATCAGTGTGACTATTTTCGCAGTGATAGTTGGAAACAACCGTCATTACACTCCAAAACTTTCACGGCCTCTGGGCAGTGATTGCCTCGGTGTATTATCTAAAGCATCCGTGTTCATCTATAATCGAGGCGTCGAGCACGCCTAATGATGGACGTCTATATATGCGCCTGTAAGGTGCGCTATACCTCGCACGCAGACGACGCCGGCGACGCTGTCCCCTACTCCCGGACAGGTGACGGAGCCTACGCCCAGCTGGTCATGCAGGCAGTCGGCGAGGTTCTTCTCCAAACCCGTGCACTGGACACCACTCAGCATCATGGTCTCGTTGATGCCTCCAAAGTAATCCCCCTGTAGACACATGTTCACTTATGTACTTGTTCATGATAATTTTTCATGCAGCAATGGCGTCTCTACGGAGCACGCTGGGCAGATCGCTCCACTGCTTGCTTCAAGAAATTGAGTCTTTTCATGACATTTTGCCTGAGAATACATTTCGGGCAAAATTGATACTTTATTTAGGGTATAATTACAATGTTGTTTGCTGCAGAAACTGCATGAATAAGCAATAATTGTAAGAAAATCTGACGCTACTCAGTTAACGGGACCACGTGGAAAGAAAATAGTTATCGATAATAAATGACGCGGTGATGTCTTGATGCAACAGTGACTTTATTTCAAATGATAGTGTTGGAGTTGTGGAGGTAGACGCACTGTTATAGCCTGGAAGGGGGGGGGGGGCAATTCAAACTCAAAAGACATTAGTTGAAGTTTGCGCTCAGACGAACATACGTAAAGTACCCCCCTGGCCATTTAAAACCCCTAACTAGTAAAAAAAATTAGTGTGGCACCGCTGCGTAAGTGGCCTAAATACACTTTCTCACTCAACTTTGAGAACAAAAGCTGCTGCAGCAGCGACGTAGGGTCCTCAGTTTCGCCACAGAGGTTAGACAGGTGTCATCGTATGCCTCCCTCGCCGAACTGTGCACTCGAGAAGGCATACAAAATAAATCAGTTATTGCTTTTTGAAATAATTTCACTTTATTGACATTGCTTCAATCTCTTGGTATTCGACAGTTAATGAAAAAAAATGTAGCCCTTGGCGATTCGGAGTGCCTAAGGTATAAGGTTCGGGGAGGACATCCCCATCGCTTTTCCTAAACCCCACGAAATATTCCAGGTTGGGCTAATGAGAGCACACATGCTGCCGTTGCTGGGGCGCTTGCACGCCTGGACGTCTTGTGTGAACTTGCTAGGGGGCTTAGCTTGATACATAGGTAGATCTTGGTTACGGCGTATGAAGATGAGTAACACTTCAATTAAATAACATAAAGAAGGTGTCAGCAGTCACGCTTGCCGGCAGTACAAGTTACTGGCAGGTAAGCAGTGTGACACAATTTAGTTGCGGGCGTAACGGGCGCTCAGCCAACGCTCCATAGGCATGTGTGAATGAGTACACATGAATGTATGCTTATATGCTCGAGAGTTGTCCGGCTTACCTGTAGCGCTGCGTCGGCATAGCCGAGACCCAGCTGCCGGCAGACCGTGGCCGCTTCCAGGAGGCCCCAGCCGTCCCCGCACACGGTGCCCCATCCACGCTTGGGAATGTACACTTCCACGCGGCCCTCGTTGGGAGCCCTGCCACCAACTAGCCGCAACTTCACGCTGCCACGGCTTCGACTCTGTGTGATACACGACGCGACCACGATTACACCCGGACAACACACCCCTCGCCAATAACAACAACAAAATGATGAAATGGAAGAGTGACAAGTATTCAATTATGCCCCGTCGTCGATATGATATCATCGTCATCATCATCATTGTCGTCATCATCATCATCAGCCTGACTACATTCACTGCAGGACAAAGGCCTCTTCCATGTTCCGCCGCCAGTCGAGTCGGTCCTGTGCTTGCTGCTGCCATTTTATACCCACAAACTTCTTAATCTCGTCTGCCCATCTAACTTTCTTTCACCCCCTAACCCGCTTGCTTCCTCTGGAAATTCATTTACTTACCCTTAATGACGAGTGGTTATCCTGTCTGTACACTACATGCATAGTCCATGTCAATTCCTCTGGTCGATTTCAACTTTGATATCCTTAACCCCGGTTTGTTCCCTGATCTACTCGGCTCTCTTGTTGTCTTTTAAGGTTACACCTATTATTTTCCTTACCATTACTTGCTGCGTGGTCCTCAATTTAAGCTGAACCCTTTTTGTAATTCCCCAGGTCTCTGCTTCGCGGCTGACTACCGGCAAAAAGCCGCTGCTATATACCTTCCTCTTCGGAGATAGTCGCACTCTACCTGTTCAGATTTGAGAGTGCTTCTGAAATGTGCTCTACCCCATGCTTATTCTTCTAGTTACTTCTATCTGGTGGTTCGTCTCCGCGGTTATTACGTATCCTAAAGAGACATAGTCTTTTACGACTTCTAGTACACTATTACCTATCTCGAAGCGCGCTGTTCTCTTCCGAGGTTGTTGTACATTACTTTCGTTTTATGCGGATTCATTTAATTACATACCTTTCTGCTCTCCTCGTTTAATTTCTCAACCATGAGTTGCGATTCGTCCCCTGAATTACTAAGCAATTCAATCTCAAAGTCAAAGCGCAGATTATTTAGCTACTCTCCATTAACACTTATCCCAAACTTTTTTCATTCTAGGCCTCTGGAAACGTTCTGTAGGCACGCGGTAAATAACGTTAGGGAGATTGTATCCCCCTGCTTTACACCCTTCTTGATTGGTATTCCGTGGCTTTCTTTATGAAGCACTATGCTAGCAGTTGATCTCCTGTAGATTTCTTCCAGATTGTTTATATATGCTTTGTCGACGCCCTGATTCTGCAGCGTCTTCATGACTGCTGATATTTCCACTTAATCAAACGCCTTCTCGTAATCTATGAAGGCTATGTATAGTTGTTGGCTGTATTCTGAGCATTTCCATATTGCCTGATTGATAGTATGAAGGTGGTCGATTGTCGAGTAGCCTGTTTGAAATCCTACTTGTTCCTTTGGTTGATTAAGTTTTATTGTTAGCTTAATTCTGTTAGCAATTACCTTTGTAAATAGCTTGTATACGACAGAAAGAAAGCTGATAGGCCTGTAATTCTCCAAGTCCTTGTCATCTCCTTTCTTATATGTAAGGATGATTTCACCATTCTTCCAAGATTCTGGTACTCTTCCCGTCAGGAGACATTTTGTAAACAGGGTGGCTAGTTTTTCTAACACAACATGGAGTGTTCAATTCACTCCATATTGTACATTCCAACGTCGGATACCTTACGCTTATGAATAAACTTCGAAAGCTCTGCCAGCTCTATCTTGTCTGTTGCTCTTTAAGATTTCATGCTTTGACGCTTCGTAATGAGATTCTTCGTTTTCTGGGACAGCTTGCCAGTGTCCTGTCTAACTAGCGTACATCCAACTACCCCTGCGAATCCCGTAATTACACTCGTCAGATTATTATTCATTGCGTCAACGCAGAGGCTGCTTTCCTCGATAAGAGCCGAGTACTTGTTTAGAAGCGAGACTCTAAATTCCTGTACTTTCCCTCGCAGTGCTAGCTCATTGATTCGCTTCTTGCGTATCAGTTTCTGTCGTTCCTTCTTCAAGCTTAGGCACATTCGCAACCATACCATTCTATGGTCACTGCGTAGTACATTGCCGAGCACTTCCACATCCTGCACGCTGCCTGGGTGTGCACTCAGTGTAAAGTCTATTTCGTTCTTACTTTCGCCATTGGGTCTCCTTCAGTTCTCCTTACGGTTCCCTCGTTTTCGGTAAAATTTATTCAATATCCGCAAATTATTGCGTCCTGCGACTTCTGCTAATAGCTTCCCTCTTGAATTTATAGTACCGATGCCGTAAGATCCTACTGCCTGGTCTCCAAAAAAAACATCCCATCTAAAAATGCTGATTACATAAAAAGTGGAGCTGAGAACGAATACAAGAAATAATGCAACCTCTCTGGCTTTGTGCAAGCAGCAATTTAATTTTTTTCAAAAGCTTTATGAAAATTGTATTTTTTTAGTTCAGATGTAACTTATGAGTCTCTACAACGACACGGTTGAATATCATTACATTACTTTTGTTGGTTGCAGAGAAAAGATGCATTGAATTTGTGAACCCACTATGAAATTTGGGAGTGAATCATAGGAAGGATAGGCAACCGCGGCTTAAAAAAAAGGGTATCACTTGATATACCCCATGGCATTTGTCATGAACACGTAAAATTTTATACGAATACTCGCCTGCGTATTTACATAATATAATAAAAGTAGCATTTACTATTTACTGTACTATACCACCTTAAAGCGTTAAAATTGTTAATATTGGCACAAAAACTATGAGAGATAAATACCTGATAGGCGCAGTGAAGCTTTGGTGTCTTGGCAATATAACACATGTTACCTCAAGTTAGATGTGCTTCAAAGTACTTTCGTACTATTAACATCAGAAAAAGCTCTTGCAGCTGGTAGCGCGTTAATTAAAGAAAACTTGGTTTCGGAGATCTTAAAAATTATAGTTACTGGAAGTTTTTACCGTCTCAAGAGCATGCCTAACCAGGACGCCGTAAGTAGAGGGGGAGTGAAAGGGAAGTTGTTAGTTATATTGGTTTTATTGGCACAAGAGCGACTCAGGCTAAGCTGCGCCAAACACAAGGTACCAAGTGATAACCAGTATATACATTTTAGTTCTAAAGCCTACGGAGGAATACACTTTCTTGTAGGAAATTGATAACGTTAAACAGTGAAACAAGTGAATCATCTCCTAAAATTTGATTTGGGTGCATCGTTTTGGGGTGTTTGTATATTGCTCTGAAATGCTTTCGTCTTTGTGCTTCAATGTAGGAACACGTGATTAGAATATGTAAAACCATTAATGGCTGTTCACATCTTTCACACTCCAGCAAATCTTCTCTTCTAAGAAAAAAGTTTTGAATCAGGTGAGTGAGCCCAATGCGGAGTCGGCATAGGATGACCTCAATGAACCGTTCTTAATGAGCACATGGCTTCCATTCGCCCACTGTGGCCTTCACCAAATGCAGTCTACTACTCATGCAGAAGTTCCATTGTTGCTGCCATTTTCATGATAATGATACACGAATAGTACGTAGGCTATCTTTAAAGGGAATCTTTGTTTAACTGATGTCTCACGGTGGTGCAAAAGACGCACATTTGTCCGCCTTTTCGTTGTCTGGTATCTTTATGTGGCTTGGAACCTAACAAAAACGGTCAGTCATATTCTCACTATTTGAAACAATCATATGCAGGATATCACCTAGAAAAGCTTCACAGTCAGATTTTAAATTTAGCGCTTTTATTGAACTTAATGAGTCAATGTATATGATTGCTTGTCTGTATTCCTCAGTGATGATTTTTTTTACTGCCTCCCATAAGACGTATATTTCAGCGCTGAAAATGGACATGCACTGTGGTAGTCTAACATTGACAGCGCTTTCTTCTGTCACAATCTCAATGCCAACATGGTGTTTTGTTTTCGAACTATCTGTGTAAACTTCGGTATAACCTTTGTATTTCTCCTGGATTGCGCGGAATTGTTGAATTAGGTGTTGTGGTGCGGTGTTGTTTTTCTTAAATCGGGTCAGTGGGAAATCACACAGTAGCGCCAGGTCAGCCCATGGCGGCTGTCTCGGTGGTTTGATGGCAACCTTCAGAGTGTCATTACAAATATTGTAGGTGCGGCAATGCTCTTCGAAGCATAAAATCAATCATGTGTCTGCGTCTAAAATGACAGCAATGTCGCACTTACCGAGAAGTTAAAGGGGCGCTGAAACACTTTTTCAAGTAGCCATACAATTAATTCACTGGAAGAGCTAATTGTCTCACGAATTCAATGCTGCAAAGGTTTTAAGCATCCGTCCAGTGCAAGTGGAGTCACAAAGATTTGTCGCATGCTGCAATTGCATTATCTTTTTTTTTTCTCGTTCCGACGAAAGCACTGGAAGCTAAGCAGGGCGGGATTACAGGGCCAAAGAAAAATGTCACGCGTACTTCGTGACCTTCAGCACTTTTTTTCCTTTTTTTTTCTTCGAACGCGTGGCTTTTTCAGTGTGATAGCGCGTGCACGCGTGGACAAGTTGCAGCCTCCCGCGGTGATCTCTGCAATGACCGAGCGCGCTATGTTCAAATCTGGCAATGACAGATAATTGGGCTCTTTACGAATAATTCTTAAGCGTCTCCCATGATTTGTCCAGAAAAAGAGGAAGCAATTTTCCGCTGACTTTGATAAATTAATGTGCCTTCCAGGCCTCGTGTTCTGCTATATTATTTGGCTCGCGTGTTGTCGGGAGCTTCTACTACCGATCGGCAGCGTTTTCTGATTATGCCAAAAAAGTGTGGCTGGGCGCTTTTAAAGTAAATGGGCGAGAATACAAGCGCCATAGTATGACATTCTCAAAGTGATCCCGATGACGGCAGACGAATCACCTACAAATATTCACTAATAATCGATCTAGCGGCACTAAATGAACACCGGGCATCAAGAGCTGCTTCTTGGTTTCTGTAAAATTTATGGGAAAAAATCGCTGGAAGTTATTGTGGGGAACGACCCGAGTTGTTCAAAAGTTCAATTTTCGCATGGTTAAACTGAACAGGTCGTGCCATCTAACGGGTACTAGTTAAAGCAATAACAACTGTCATCTCTAAGCAAATGGCAGGAAAGTGTGGAATGGCCATTGTTGCTGCTGTGGTTCCCGCGGCTTTCGCCCTGCTGCTACTAGTGTTGGCGGCCGCGCAGTAAAGCCGGACAACGCTGTGGACAACAACAGTGGCGCGAAACGTTCAGTTCGGGCGGGTAATTTGCAGTGTGCTAACCCGATGCAGACCCTTAAAACGGGCTTTTATTTCAATTCATTCTTTTCACTTATTAAGCAGTTATTCCTAGGCACAAAAGTAACACTACCAGGTTTATAGACCGTCAATTTAACAATGAACGCCGATTCAATAGTCGCATTTAGTGCCCCTTTAAGTACAAAGCCACTACAGCACCGCAGCTACTGTCACCCACTGGAGAATGACGGTCGCGTCGTTCATTCCACTGTCCGCTTCTTATAAACTGTAACGCGGGTGCCATCCTTGACCACGGAGGCCGAATTTCGATACGAGCGAAATGCAAAAAAAAAACGGATGTATATAGATTTAGGTGCTCGTCAAAACAACATTGCATGGTCTAAATTTATCCGTAGCCACCCACTACGGCATGCCATGTAATTATATCGTGGTTTTGGTACCGTAAATCTGGGTATTGTGTCTTGTTCACCTAATACCTTTGGTAGACCGCACTTCGAAGACATTATCAAATAGAATCTCCTTTTTTCAGCCGTTGGTATAACACTACGGTGAAACAGGTAAAAGTGGAATAGGCACCAAGTTATTCGTAACACTCTATCCACATGTGCGCCTTGCTTAAATAAAACAGTGTCCCTTGAACAGGATAAAATATTTAACGAAGGTTTTCACGCAGATTGAACAATCTTTTATCAGCATCATAAAATTCAAATGCTTTTTTCTTGCTCGCAACAGAATGTTTATTAACAATTAAATAAATTTGTCGACGCTTTTAAAAGATGAAGATCAGTATGTACCTGAGCACCTAAAAGCACATCAATTTCATTTGTTTGCGGCAGGCGTCCCGTGGTGTGTCGCCGTTCTCACTTTCTCGGCATTTAGAACAAAGTTCCAGAAATACAAAAAGAAAGAAAAAACAGAATGTCATCTGATATCCGGTACATATGAAGCAGCTGCTCACAAGCATGGTACGAACGCACCAATTCAGCTTCGGTCAATAATGTTTCTATCGCCTCGTAAATATCACATTCAAATTCTTTAAGGTCCCTGCTACATGTATGCCCAAGGTCGGCCTAGACCAAGGTAGACCAAGGGGGTCTCGGCCTAAGTATGAAATCGGAAAGGGGGAGAGGAGATACGATGCTTCTGTTGGTAGGATTGAATCTTCTGATGAATACGCGATACGTAACAACCACGTTAATTTACAGTTTCATTTTGGTATTATGCAGAAGTGATGTGCAATGCTCAACGTCACTCTATAATTCATACCCAGCAACGCAAGCCCTACCTAAGCAACGCAAACACTACTCCGGCGGTTTACAAGGTGACAGATGTTCACTGGTATTCTGGGAAAAACAGTGTATATTGTAGTTCATCACGTTATCGTGAATAAGGCGAATAGTAACGTTATGAATATAACGTTTTTTGTTGTTTTTTAGGAAAAAAAGTCGCAGCTTTGCCTCAAAGGCGAAAGATTGAACGCGATAGCAACAAATTGAAAGGCCACGCGCAGAACAGCAAACAGATTGAAACGTGCCCCACATTTCTCACGCGCACGAAACGTGCTCACAGATACAGAATACCGTGAATAGTCGTCTCAGCTGTTACATTGCTGTGTCTAAAAAGCACGCCCGGTTCGCAAGCGGTGGCTCTGCAACAATTACAGTGACCTTGGTGCGCCCCGTCACAAAACAGAATCGTTCCAGTGCAAGTCCAACGCCAACCAAGACGTATGATCCTCCCCACCTGGTGTATGGGCGAGCGAGATATTGTCCACTTCCTCCTCTTTGCGGGCCAAAGTACGCGTGAGAGATGAAAGAAGCCACGCGCTCATTGCGTCATCTTGCTGATAATGCTGAAAACACGATAGTCCCCCCCCCCCCCCCTCCCGAGATCCCCGCCAACAGCGGTGAGTGGTAGATATAAATAGCTTGCCGTTTGAGAATTGACGGAGGTACTTATTAGTGTCTCAGTGGTTGACGCCTCGCATTCACGACGCGGAGGTCCCACGTTCGATTTCGTGCACCGGAGTATTATTTCTGGATTTTAAAGGTGATAGTCTTTCTTGGGGACCTTCGACGACAAAATTTTGGTCTGTCTGTGTGTCTGTCTGTCTGTCTGTCTGTCTGTCTGTCTGTCTGTCTGTCCATGGTAGCGATCCCTTTTATGGCACCAAAGTATCCAAACGATACTTCAAACGGCCAACCCCATTCGCAGCGCCCACCAACATTGCTCGAGTTTCAGCGTTCATACTTGTGCGATTGTCAACTAAAAAGGAATTATTGCGGATATCTGAGGCACTACAACAACACGTTAATGTTTTGTATGTGTGCCTCTATACTAGACAAAGCACACACAAGTAATTCTAAGGACCGTAGCGTTTATCACGCTACGCTGACAATGCAACGCGATGATAAAAAAGGTATGTGTTTCCAACGCTTTGATAAGACGACACGGTGGTGGCACCTAACCACCGCTCTGCGTTCTACTCCTTATCGCCGCCGAGACAGTCACGCATCTTTTTCCGCGGGTGCGCGCACGCCTTCCTTTGTTTTTGAAGATAACTGCCAGATGGCGCTCGTGTCGAACGTGCCTCGATGCGCTCACTAGCCTTCGCTCAACGGCTCGGGACTCTCTAACGCAGCGCTTCCAGAATACAATTCACCAATTTTATCGCGCAGAACATCAAATAAACGCTTTGTTCCCACTCTCCACACCCAATTAGGACTATCACATTTCGACGACATTTGCAGTGAAACATACAAATACAAGGCCATTTTTCTTTGTTGCGTTTTTATATATATATATATATATATATATATATATATATATATATATATATATATATATATATATACGTATACATATACGATGCATGAGATGGACGTCAACGCTGACGCCGGCGGTGAAATCCGGCAGAGAGTGTCCATATAAATGCTTCAGCAATAATATGGCGAACCTTTTGTCCAACAAAATGAAGAGAGGTTGTTTTAGCGTAACCTGCTTCATTCAATACTTCTGTGGTGTAGTGTGCAAAGAGAGAGAGGTGAAATACCTTGATCATCTTCTTGACATTCACAGGTGATGGCGCACCGGGGGTCGTTGGCGGCAGTAGTAGTGGACATTCGACGCCAGCTGCCTCGTCCCTTCCACAGTCGTGCACTCCCCACCCATCGAACGGGCACTCTTCGATGTGAAGCTCCTCACCCGTGCAATATACGTTGTCCATTAGTATCGGTCCTACAAAAATCATTAACAACACAAGCCGCATGGTAGATGGTCAGTGCATTTCAATTAATGTATTTGCCACTGCGCCCATAAAACGATAATTATTTTACGGCAACCAATTGCTGTGTATGCGTATCTTCACGAGATTTTGAGCGTACTCGCTTCCACGTGAGCATGCCAATGCTTCTCTGCACTTAGAGTGCATGGGCATCGTTATTGCATATGCACACTCGGCTTCAATACTTCATAAACGATAGGACAGAGTAAGTCTCTGTATTCCTTGCAATTTATACCTGTATTTTGTCGAATCGCACAGTTCACGTAATGAACATGCTTTATAAGTCATCATGTATCTAAATTCAACTAGGCTTGAAACTTGGGCAAGTTGGTGCGGAATCAGCTTCTAACACGCTTTTGTATCTTCAGAAAGGCAGGTGGGTGTATTGGCCACTCCTCTATCAGTAAGTCTGGCCAAGAGTTCAAGTATCTGCGCTCCATGAGCTGCTTTTGACTGCGCGGCAACGATCGAACTCTGTAAGGGTCTTTTTTTATCTGTTCAGTTAGCCTTTTACAGTGACACGTAATTTCTGCTGGGCACTGCTTATGGTTACCCCGTGTATTCAACAAATCAGTTGCGAGTAAACAGCGCTCGTCTTTCTTTTCTTTCTTAGTGTCCTGCCCTGTCGCGCAGCTCTAACGAGGGTGATCTAATGCAAGGCTTCGTACCGAAGAAGCGGAATCATTCAGCTTTTCTTTTCACATGTCTCGTAGACTCCACATATTTTACGCCGGTCACGAAAGTGCAGCGCCGGTGTGCAGTGTATAAATCAAAGTTGGACTCGATGGTGCTTAGTGCGTGTACTCACTCAGTGCTTTTCCGAAGTGCGCGTTGACAGTGACGCGCGCCGAGCCGTTCCCGTGTCCCAGCATGCGACACACAACCTGGGCATCACGGATGTCCCACTCGTCATCGCACACGGAGCCCCACCGGTCGGCGTGGAAGATCTCAACGTTGCCGCGACCCTCGTGCGTCGTGACGCGAGCGCCGATGACCAGCCGCAGGCTACCCTCCTCCTCGCTGCTTACTGCAGTAGCCAGGCTGAGCACGATCGCTGCCAAAGACGAAGTCTTGATGGCAGCAACCACACGCCGATGCCTGCGAGGAGGTGCAGAAATGCGTGACACTGTTATTCCTATAGTTCGCCTTGTGCGTTGATTTGTCGTATCTCGTGCATCCATTTTTCATACCTCACCTACTCACTCATATGAGAGGGATAAGGGCCGTTACACGAGCTAGCCACGCACCCGCTCCACACACCCACACCGCACAAACGGGCGAGAGTGGCCGTCTCTGTGACTTTAGACAGAGCGGTTAACTCTTGCAAGCCGCCAGCCGGCTCGCATCGCTCGCCCCTGAATGGCTACTGCGAAAAGCGGCCTGGAAGGCCGCCTGATGGGTTCGCTTGACAAACATGGCGCTTGCTGAAGCGGGCGCTGCAGTGTCATGAAAAAAAAAACGCCAGGTCTGCGCGGTAGGCGCAGCACAGTCACAGCGAAAGCTAGAAGAGCGGCCTTTTAGAGCTTTTTAAAAACGCTCATTGAGTAACTATTGCAAGCACACTTGCTTGGTGCCCACTAATACATTATTAATAAATTTATTGGGGTATTAGGCCGGCATTCGCTAAGCTATTTTTTGTCATTCTTCTGAGAAGCGCGGTATCCGCTAAACACTTGCAAGGAATTTCGTGCCAATTGTTCATGCACTAGCTGACGGTGATGAGGAATTATGGCTGAAGTGGGTATGTGCCACAGTTATTAGGGGAACAAGAACAAGCTTTTGTAATGTGTTGGAGCATTCGACAGCCCACTCGTTACGCTATTCGCATTGCGCGACGACTGCCCTATTGCAAAAAGCGGCCTCCCCTGCGTGATGCCAGTACGTTCTTTTGACACTGGTGCACGTTGGAGACACTGCTAAACGCTGGTATTCACAGGCACTTCGCTGGGCGCACTAGTAAATAGCTTTGTCGCAGAGGTAGGGGCACTGGTTTAACCGCTGTGATGCTGATGCACACTGCGAATCACTGGCAGCGCTCGAATTTTCACTGGCAAGCGCGCTGGTGCTCATGAATACTGACGCCCGCACGTTTCTACCAGCGCTGAAGTTATGAAGCGTGGAAGCCTGGGCAAGTTGGTAGGACATAACTGAATGCAGGAACAGCTCAACCTAGAAGTAGTTACTTCGTAACTACGAAAGCGAAAAAACAAGGACAGAAAAGAGCGCTGCTACGCTAGTTACGAAGTAACTACTTCTAGGTTGCGCTGTTCCTGCATTCAGTTCTACCAGCGCTACGTGCTCATTTGTGTAGTTTGTGCCGTGGTATGTTTCGGTGTCGTTGAATAAAAAATTGGTGGCAAATCTGCATGTTACACCGCAAATGTAGTCCACAGACGACAATTTTTGTGTCTGGAGAGAGTGAACAAAACGTTTATTTGATGTTATGCACAAGAAAATCGGTGAATGGTACTCTGGAGGCGCTGCGTTAGAGTGCCTCGAGAGTGTAGCGGAGGCAAACGAGCGTATCGAGGCACGTTTGGCACAAGCGCCATTTGGCAGTTATCTTCAAAAACGAAGGCGTACAGCCCGCGGAGAAAGATTCGTGCCATCCTCGGAAGGGATAAGGTGTAGAACGCAAAGCGACGGGCAGGTGCCACCACCGTGACGTCGTAGCAAAGCGTTGGAAACACCCTTTTGAGCATCGCGTCGCACTGTAAGCGCAGCGCGATAAACGCTACACTCCTTGAAGTTACTTGTGTATGCCTCTTCTATCATAAAGGCAGACACACAAAACTTCCAAGTGTTGTTATGGCGCCAAGTGTTCTTATGGTGCCTCAGATAGGCGCAATAATTGCTTTTTAATTGACAAACGCACAACCACGAACGCAAAACCTTGAGCAATATTGGTGGGCGCTGCGAATGTGGTTGGCCGTTTGGTGCCTTTTGAGGTATCGTTAGGGAAGAACAAACAGACAAATATACAGACAGACAGACAGACAGACAGACAGACAGACAGACAGACAGACAGACAGACAGACAGACAGACAGACAGACAGACAGACCAAAATTTTTCCGTCGAAGGTCCCCAAAAAAGACGATCGTATTTAAAAAAGGCTTGATTCAATGCACGGATAGATGCTATACCCTCACAGATACCGAGCATACGTAATTTTTGTGGTGCGCGAATTTATCGCAGCAATTATTGCCACCTTTTTCGCATATCAGCCATATTCGCACAAGTAGTGTATTGCAGTAACGATTTCATGTTGTGGTGTTTATAAGCCTGCAGCTGGACGCAACTCTTAACAGAAACAGGAAATTGTTTATGCCGCCAAGTTGACAAAACGTAAATGAGCTCTCTCGATCGCTTCGTAAGGTTTCCCAGCGGAGGCGAGAGAAACAGTTGTCGTTCGATCTCGCCACACTGTAAATGGATATCTGCTCATGCTTATCCTCCTACTTACTTCAGGTAATAGTTATATATGTTCTGAAGCTCAAATGCAGGAACTTAATTCAATCATCCCAACTCACCGCGACGAGAACTGTCTTACCCAGTGTCCAACCCAGCGAGCATTAGGCCTATCATGCCGGCTGCGTCAGTGTATATGTTACCGGGGCTTCTTGTTTCGTGTACACACAATTTTAAAGTCTGAGAATAGCTGTATAGTTTAGACATTCATGAAACTAAATCAACCATTTCGCATTCTGTCGATGTCCGCACAAGGAGCGCTGACGATCGATACGTCGCGCTTTCAGGTACTCAGACACTCACTGAAAGCTGGCGGCCGCACTTATCCGGTACTTATCCGACCGATATTTAGGAACACGCAATTTTCAGTTGGTGATTTCATACGCCTTCGTGAACTGACTCCCTGGCATACGCTTTCAGTGGATTGCATCAGTATTTCTTCGGGCGTTTTTTTTTTAGTTTTTGGTATTGATATAACTGCAAATCTGTGCACTGGCACACCCGCTGTATACTACTAGTGGATGCCGGAAAAACAGCTGTCGCTCAATATCGCCACTTCCTAAATGCATGCCTGGCAATCATTGAGCTTCTACTTATTTCAGGTACAGTTTAGGTTACAGTTAGAAATGTTGCGAAGACCAAATGCAGAAACTTCACGCATCGCAACTCAGCTGCATCGAGAGCAGCCTTGCTCAGTGCCCCATCCCAGCGAGCAATAAGCCTATCGTGCTGGCCGCGTTGGTTTACATGCAACCGGCGCTTTTTGCTTCAGGTAGACACAATTCTAAAGTGTAAGAATCACTGTAATGCGCATTTTCGACAGCTATGAGCCGAAATCAATCATTTATGCGCGTTTGCGGTACCCGCACAAGGAGCGACGATGATCGATGTGTTGTGCTTTTAGCAACGCCGGCTGTCAAGGAAAGCTTCCTTTCGAACGCAGTAGCCGGTACTTTTGTGATTCGTATGTAAGAACACGATGCTTTGAGTTCGTAATCTGGTACACTTAGTGAAACTAACACGCTGGACTACTTTTTCAGTAGATTGCATTAGTATTTTCTTCGGTGGTTTCTTTGGCAGGTACCGATATACTGCAAATCTGTACACTGGCACGTTGGATGTATACTGCTAAATCTTTGCTTGCACAAAAAAATACTCGATATTCAATCTTGCGCGCTCGTACGTATACCGAACAAGTCATTTTAAATTATCTGTGCATGTTGACCAGTAGCAATCGCGAGAAGTGACTATCAAATAAAAAATATCCGCAGCAACAGCCGACAATCTGTGTCTGCTTCTGCAGTCGATTTTAGATGTTTCAGAGTTAAGATGTAGATTATTCGAAAAACTTAGTGCTCTTGCCAATATCCGCACGTCATTCGGTGCCAGGAAACCATTCGCCACTGTCGAATCACGACGCAATTTTCATTTGGAAAGGAATATTGCGTCCATCTTGACTGTGCGACGTGTAAACATGAAGTCGAACGGCGTCTTCTCAAAATAATAGTAATTTTGCAACCCAACTCACGTGTTATGGCGTGGCGTAGTCGGTAGAGTACTCAGATGAGAATTCGAAAGTGACAATTTCAAATCAATCCTGTCGGAGGGTATTTTATTAGTTTTTGTGTGAATGAGCACAATAATGAATTTTTTACTTCTATATTAATTATTTAAGGCGAGCGGGCACCCCCGTTTTAAACCTGTGAATCCACTTTGCGCAGAGTACCCAACGCCTACAAGCGCTCGTACTAGGACGCTGCTGGTACCAAGTGGCGCTGGTTTTTGCAATAGGGTGGTTGTTGTTTTGCTGTTGTAAAACGCTCATTAGGTCGTATTAACGCGATTGCTTTACAAACATTGATTGATTGATCGATTGATTGATTGATTGATATGTGGGGTTTAACGTCCCAAAACCACCATATAATTGCGAAAGACACCGTAGTGGAGAACTCCAGAAATTTCGACCACCTGTGGTTCTTTAACGTACACCCAAATCTGAGCACACGAGCCTACAACATTTCCGCCTCCATCGGAAATGCAGCCGCCGCAACTGGGATTCGAACCCGCGACCTGCGGGTCAGCAGCCGAGTACCTTAGCCATTATACCATCGCGGCGGGGCGTTCCGAACATCAAGCCTGCCTAAGGCATATTTGACAACAAGTCACAAGCACGTAAGAGAAATCACGTCGACATTCGAAAAGTACTGTGAAAGTTTAATCATTGCTCTCTAACCCTGACGTCAACCTTACCACGAGTTTTGTTTTCCTTTTGAGCCCATTGGAAGACGAGGATTGTGTAACCATTAGTTGTCCTATTACGATACAGAAAATTGACGGCATTTCTGCTGAATTTTACAAAACCTTTACAAATGTGTTCTTTGCTATATTGCTCGATATCTGTAAAATAAGCTATGACATGGAGACACTCCCGAGATCCTTTTGCAAAAGCCATGCAGTTTTGATACCGGAAAATTCGAACAATGAAAAACTTCGCTCTCTTGAGGATTACCGGCCAATAGTGCTGTCACACATTGACTACAAAATTTTTGCCAAAGTATTAGCAAATAGGTTGCAATTTTAGAAGTCCATTCTCGTTGGGTCCCACCAAACATGTGGTATCAGGGGCCGA